TCGGAGCCCTTGCACCACCGAGCGGAGTGGCGCGAAGGGCCCCGAATACGTGCCAGACTGGCGTAGTAAACAGCGTGCAGCCATGCACTGCACTAGTTCCGGCCCCAGCACATCTGCAGGAAAACCCAGCCTGAGCGCCACCTTGCCGACCAGCATCCAACCTATGGTGTCGTAAAACTGCCCTCTGTCGAGCGCGTTGGCGTGGTGAGCCTGCAGACGCACCGCCAGCTCCTCGTCAACGGCTCTGAGGAACACCTCTCTGATGGCAGCGTTCCCCTTGATGGCGGCGTCCCAGTGCGCCTCGCACTCGGACGTCCAAAGCTTGATGTACGGCTCGCGTGCCTGCGACCACACCCGAGATAGGTGCGGCAGCAAGCCAATGATCCTGTCTCCAGCTGCCTGCTTTGGAAGGAGGCCGATCGTGAGCAACACCTGATGAGGCCAGGTCTGCGTGGCCTCGCAGGCGCCCAGAAGAGAAGCCATCTCGAGCAGGGCTTCCTCTGGGAGGCGAAGCAAGTCGTGCGATCTGAGGCGATCCACTGCCATCCCCGAGTTGCCTTTAATCCGACCAAGCGCAGCACGCGGGTCGTTAGGCGTAAGAGGGGGGAGAGCCTCGTAGCGCACCCGTTCTCTGATCTCATGAAACAGCGTCTGCAGCTCATTCATCTCGACCGTGCTGCCGCCCGCAGCCAGGAATGCCGGTGCCCAGATCCGTTGTCACTCCTGACTCTTATGGTCCAGCACATCGTGCGGGTGAAGACTAGCCTGACCGTGAACCACCGCCTCCCGAGTCTCGGGCTGTGGATCACGGATCTTTTTGTGGAGGATGCCCAATGCTGGACCTGCCTCGGCCCACTCTCGGGACTCCCCCATCGCTCTGCCGAGGGCTCGGCGTTGACTGCGTTGAGCGAGACGCTCAGCTGCTTGGGAGTTGACGTCGAGTTCAGCAATCTCGAGGTCTGCCAGCCGAGCAAGGATCTCCTGCCACTGCTCCCACGTGTATCTGTCCGTGGGTCGAACGATGTGGACCCGTTTTGTGCAAGATGAGAAGCTGTTTCGTGCCCCGACCTCTTCGAACGTGTCGAGCCACTCCACTGATGATCTTCGAAACCCTGGTCCACCAATTGCTGATGTGATCTCGCAGCGGTGTGATCCTCGTCGGAGTCGCTTGGCGAACCGTGGCAATCTGAAACTGGGGTGCGTCTGCTCGCGAGGCCCCAGAGAAAACCTGCTTGTGACGTACCAATATGGAAGCCTCCACTGTCTGAATCCAGCCTGCGTGCAAAGCTCCGATCAGGCCAGGATCTTTTGAGCCGAGGTGGTAGGCAATGGAGCTGGCAATGGCAGGAGCAGGCGGGCAGGACTCGATGGGTCTAAACCCGACGACAGCTTTTTGTTTTCTCCATACCGAGCAGGGCACTGGACACTCGGGGGACCACTCTTGCGAAACGGACGGCTCCTGGGACGAGGACCCCCGGGCGGCTGGGGAGGGGTGGAGCGCCTGGTCGCTAGGGTCTGAATTACTCGACTGTTCAACTGTGACTGGCTCAGGCGCCGAAAGAGCAGCAACAGGGCAAGGGGCGGGCGGCGCTGCGGGGCTGAAAGCCGTCTCGTCCGCCCAGGGGTCGTCCTCCGAGCAGCCGTCCCAGTCGTCGCCTGAACTGGCAGGCCTCGGCCCCCTCATACAAGAGCGGGTCTCGGCTTCGCGGAGCGGGGGGGGGTCCGCGGAGCCACCGGGGGGGGAGACGCGACCCGAGGGACAACAACAAGCTAGGTCCCCCGACCCAGGCCCTGTACATGCCCCAGAGAACCAGGAGGAGGTGCGCTCGTCCTCCTCCTCCTCCTCCTCCTCCTCCTCCTCCTTCTCCTCCTCCTCCTCCTCCTCCTCCTCCTCCTCCTCCTCCTCCCTCTCGTCCTCCTCCTCCTCCTCCTCCTCCTGCTCCTTCTCCTCCTCCTCCTCCTCCTCCTCCTCCTCCTCCTCCTCCTCCCGAATGCGTTTGGCCTCCAACCTTGAAGTCGCCCGCTGAGATTTCGCGACGCTCGACTGGGAGCCGGGGGCGCTCGTCCTCATGGGCTTATTGACTGTAGGCAATCGCACGGGCAAGTCAAGACACCTGGTGTACAACCTGCTCTCTGGACGCAGCGAGGTCGATGCTGATGCCGATCTGCTGAGCGAGGTCGACGCAGGGCGCGGACACGACTGCCCGTGCAGATCGAGCGTGCGCACGCGCAGACTGGCTGACTGCAGGATCTTCGAGGCGACTGGGGGCATGTCCCCCTCCAGGCGTGCACGTGAACTCTGCATCTGCGAGAACCACCTGTCCTCCAACCCTATCGAGCCATCCTGACTTCCGTAGGCTCGAATGGGGCAGGTTCCAACCTGCAGCAACGATGCAGGGCACTTGCAAAGCTCGGAGCAAGCTTCCGAGCTTCCGAACACGTGCAACGTTACTGTGCCTCATACCGGTGCTGGGCACTCCATAAAACGTGACCGCGGCAAGAGTGAAGCCTCCCATGTGAACAAGGCATGGCATACATCCGTCGAGCATCTCTCCTCTCTCGGCACGCAACCCTTTTCCTGCGCGAGCCTCTGCGAGAATCTTAACGGGCCTGTGATTGCGAGTGAGCAGCCACTCGCCTCCCTCGTTGTTGTGAGCTCGGTCACCTTCCTCTCGCAGCCGGCGTGACTTGGGGCGAGCTGGATAGGCGAAGAGCTGCATGGAAGACTGATGAGCCTTGGCGCCCCAGTGCGCCAAGCCTTGCTTCCCGATGTGTGTCTTGGTAACGCCCGTGAAATCGTGAGTGGCCGACAGCTCGTTGATATGGTTCCAAGCTTTGTCGCCCATTCACGTGACGTTGGCGAAGAAGAAACGACAGATGCCGTCGTCCTGCCCAGTGCTCTGGGCACTGGTCTCCCCAGCTGGCTGATTCGCCGCAGCAGCGTCAGCACTGCCCGCCGATAGTCATTCGGCCGTGGCTGGGGCGCCTTGCGACGGGCTGCCAGCGTCCGCTGCTGCGGAAGGCGACGACGACTTGCTGGCGACGTTTCCCTTGCCGCCTGCCTTCGCCTTCACCGCTGCAGCTGCCGCGAACTTGGCCTTGGAGAACTTCTCGGCCTCGCGCTGGAGCCCCACGTCGTCCTGCGCTGGTGCTGCTGGGGCTGCTGGAGGTGCTGGTGCTGCTGGCTGCGCTTTGGGGCCAGCTGCCGCGCCCGCGGCGGGAGCTGAATGTGCGCCTGGGCTGCCGCCTGCAATCCCAGCGCCATCCTCGGTATTCCTCTTCTTCTGCATGCGGTCGCGCACCTCGCGCTCGGTCGCTGCGACCCTCTGCAGGAACTGTTTCAGCTCGGCATCCTTCGTCTCGAAGCTATGCTTCCAAGTCTCCAACTCTTTCTTCAGCGCTCGTCCTTCCTTGTCAGCATCATCAACATCCCACTCTTCGAGGTGGTCGAGCAGCGCACTGCTCACCAGAATGCTGATCGTGGGCTGCGACGCCGCCGTCGAGGGATCCTCCTTCGGTGCGTCCTGATCAGGTCCACGAACTCCCTCTGCGAGGGCAAGGGCGGCAGCCGCACCCTTCTTGGCGCGCTCCGCCTCCGCTCGCTCCTGGGCCGCCGCGCGCTCCTTCTCCTCCGCACTCTGCAGCTGGGCGCGGAGCCTCAGCACCTGCGTCACCAGCTG